AAGCATCATTGGCTGACACTAAAAGTTGTGCCTTTTGAATATCCTTTGGGCAGTATGTCGTATAATCATTCTCTCTTGTTTACTATGCTGTGGAAGATCTTCAGAGAAGATGATATACCCAACATGCTTGCAAAGTCAAAGCCCCTGTGCATGAAAATTCCTCAGTGTGGGTCAGGATTTTTGGCTAAAAACCTGTAAAGATGAGTGAGGGAAACGGTTTGAGGCAGAAATTACAAAAGCACAAGAAAAGGAAGGCAAAAAGGCAGCTTGTTTCAATGACTTTCTTCCTGGGACTGTGTTAACTTTGCCTTCCCTAATGCACAGCAGAGCTATAAGTGAGTTTAAAGGAGGATGATCATTAATGATTCCTATTCAGTGAGTGGGGACAATTACAGATGTTTTTGCTAAAATGTGACATGAAACCATTGCTGGCTTTCTGTTTTTATGGAGACAATTTGTTTTATCCTTGTTTTATATTATGCATCACTGAAATGATTAACTAAAGCAAGGCCAACCCTGTGTAACTATATTACCTCATGCAATAATCAAGTAGCTAACAAGAACCATAGCAAAATGAACTTAAAGTAATGGCATAAGTGTAGCTTCATGCACCAGATCGGAGGGAGCTGAATCTTTCTTTGCAAGGCAAGAAATTGACTGAAGCTAAAGTTTGCAACCTTGGGTGTCTTAGGCTATGTCTAGACTTCACCTTTTTTTTTTTCTTCAGAAACAGGCATGCAAATTGTGGTCCACAATTGGCGTACCCTTTCCCGATTGTTTTTTCAGAAGAGGCTTTTCCGAAATTTGGCCCATTTACACTGGGCCAAATTTCAGAAAAGCTTCCTCTTTCAGAAGAGCCCTTCTTCCTCGTGAAATGAGGAAGACAGAGCTTTCGAAAGAGTGCAGCCCCTGGTTGTGGTGGAGTTTTTCTAGGATACCTTCAATACAGGCAGTCCCCGGGTTACATGGATCCGACTTACATCGGATCCCTACTTACAAACGGGGTGAGGCAACCCCGCACTAGCTGCTTCCCCCCAGCAGACCAGGGAGACGCGAAGCTAGCGCCCCCCCCAGCAGACCAGGGAGACGCGGAGCGGCTTTTCTCAGCAGACACCTCAGCTTGAGAATAAAGGACTGTGGGAAGTGAGGTGTGGGAGAATAAAACTGAGCTCTGGAGAAATGTTTGGCTAGAGTTTCCCCTACAATATGTACCAGTTCCGACTTACATACAAATTCAACTTAAGAACAAACCTACAGTCCCTATCTTGTACGTAACCCGGGGACTGCCTGTATTCCGGAAAACTCCATAGTCTAGACATAACCTGATTATGGCACCCAGAGTAAAATTTTCAGGTTCCTAAGTCACTTAAGGGGCTGTTTAAAATGTATGCTTAAATTCATATGTAGACACTGTCTCCAATTCATTTTGTTAGCCAATGCCCAGAAGCTCAAAATGATGGCCTGATAGATGCCTAAAAATGGATGTAGGGGCCTTATTTTAGAACATACAGGTTTGGAGGGGCAGGGAGATTGGAGAGAATGGACCCTAGTAATCGAATGTCCATTGAAATCAAAGGAAAGATTCTTAGCTGACTTCGGATGGGCATGTGGTCAGGGTCTCTGTGAAGAACACCACCTGTAGAAATGACAACACTTCATCTTCAGCTGGAAAGACTCTTGCAAATCAAATCCCACTGGTACAATTGTTTCAGTGCTTCTTATCAGTAGATCTCAAAAGAGGGTCTGCATCATTTATCCTCATTTTACACGTGGGAAACTGAGGCACAGAGCAATGAAGTGATTTGCCCCAGGTCACCCAGTGGACTAGGGCCAGAGACAGGAATGGAACTCAAGCCTGAGTTCCAACCTAGTGCTTTATTTAGTAGGCAACACTGCCTATCACAAAGGCTGCTGGAATTACCTTGTGGATTTCATTCAGAAGTTTATACACACTTTTTGCAGTATTCCTTCAACTCTACATTTATCCACAATTTGGCTTAATCCTGCACGCACCGACGACAACAGAAGTTTTGCATTATCTTCTACAAGTGCAAGATTTGGTCTTTAAGCTTGGTGAAAATAAAGGAAAACTAGGTGGGAAGGAAAAAGACAAATATACAGAGATGATAATAATGCAGGGTATGTCTACACTACAGGATAAGGTCGAATTAAGAGCTGCAACTTCAGCTACGTTAATTGCGGAGCTGAAGTCGAAGTACCTTAACTCGACTTTTGGTGCTGTCCACACTGCAGGAAGTCAAAGGGAGAACAGTCTCCCTTTGACTTCCCTTACTCCTTGTGGAAGCAGGACTACCGGCATTGACCTGCATGCCCTTCTCAGTTAATTAGCGTGACTTCACTAGACCTGCTAATTTGAACTCTGGAAGATTGACAGCGGCAGCTTCTATCTTCCCTGTAGTACAGACATACCTGGAAGATCGACAGCGGCAGCTTCGATCTTCCCTGTAGTACAGACATACCCTTAGGGTGTCTATGGGAGGTGCCCCAGCAAGTCGTCTTTTTTCTTAAGTGTTATACTAACTACAACTTCTTAGAAACTAAGATTTGAATCAGTGTTTAGAGAGAACCTAATTTTAGACCTCAGGGATGATCTAGATGGTTCATGGTCCTGCCGTGAGGGCAGGGGACTGGACTTGATGATCTCTCAAGGTCCTTTCCAGTTCTAGTGTTCTATGCTTCGATGATCCCTTATTAATATGTGTCATTTATAATGCGGCTATGCTTTTGAGGCCAGATGGTGCACAGAGTGTCAAACCCTAGTAAATGACAGCTCCTGCGCCACACGGCTTACAGTACTCTGCAACAGTGTACCCAAAATGTCAAAATACTTTTCAAGCGCTCATTCATTAACCCTTTCAACGCACTTTCAGCTCTTCATTTTACACAGTTAAGGAGATTGTATGGATCCGCCGGGACCGTAAAATCTTTTGTCCCAGAGCAAAGCCATGGCAAAATGAAGACTGGACCTGAGAACACTTGACTCTCGGGCCTATATTTCTGCTTTAAGGTACATTTATTTGTAAAATGCACATTAACAATGCACTCAGATAATGCCAACGTGTAATCAAAAATGGACCATGGGGAGGGTCTCTGTAGCTTGACCATATTGAACATATTCATAGTACAGTGAAGAAATGGTCTAAAAGCAATCAGCTGTCGCTCCCAGACAACATTGCCTCGGGGCTGCTGCCAAAGTCAATGAGGACATAATTTATCAGTCACATAAGTGCCAGAAGAGTGGCTCAGAAGCTATTACAACTTGTGCAGCAGACCCTGGAAATATCCCTTTCTGCTGTCGTTGGTCTCCATCACTGAGCACCTCACAGTCTTTAACATATTTGTGCGACAAAAGGAACTGTTGTTACCTCATTTTACACATGGGGAACTGAAGCACAAAAAGGCTAAGTGACATGCCCAAGGTCATACAGGAAATATGTGTCAGAGCAGGGACTTTGAGCCCAGTTCTCTCTAGACTTACACTACTGCTTTAATTAGTGGACCATCCTTCCTGCTGCTGCTGCTGCACCGGTTAATCATCAGAAGTTACTGCTTTTGCCAATTGGTCCCCGTTGCCTTCTGATTCATCCTTGTTTGATTGAGACTAAACCCAGAACCTCATCTACAACACAGAATAGAAATGGTCAAGAAATCCATTAAAATTGGGGAGGAGGGGGTGTTGACAGAAAAAGAGGTTTGTATTTAAATTACTATTTTTTCCACAGGAAATATCAGATTTCCTCAAAAAGTTTTACAAATATGTATATTTTCAGTTTTGCAAAGAAAAGTCAACTTTTTTCACTAAACAGGTGAATAAAATATCTTCCATTATTCACATTTTTCCTCCTGGAATAATAATAAATAATAATAATAATATAATTAATAACATTTTCCAAACAGCTGTAATGTAGGCATATAGGGTCTGTTGCTGCAACCCATTACATGCAGGCATCAAGACTATATTCATTGACTTCTGACGTTGATATTTGTTGAACAATGGCCTTCCCATGGACATTAAAACAAAAATTTCATAGAGAAATGTCACATCAAATTATTTTCAAATGATTCTCAGTGTGTCCAGTTTCCATGCAATAATGAAAATGGTTTGTATGGGTTCATGAATTGGACTGTAACTGTTGGTTCCATGGAGAATGATTTTCAGCAATCCACAATCTAACAGGACTGGAGTCAGCTTAGTAAGACACCAAGAATGGCACCAAAAAATACACCATTGTCTTGTAGTAGGAGACACGGCATTGCACAAGTGAGTATCTATGCCCACTCTGTACTCAACTTCCTTTTCTTCTGAGAGAGACACTTTTTCTTCCATATTAAAAGATTTCAAGACATTAGTATGCATAGCTCTCCTGGGCTCTAGCAACTGTAATACCCAGATTGTTTCCCTGAAATCCTAGTGCAAAATCACCCTCTTATGCAAGTTTCTGTGTGGGTTCTAAGTTCAGGGCAACGAAGGGGGTGGACGATGGAGGAGGACTGGAGACAGGACAGGGACACTTGGTTAATCTTCTTCACAGATAAGATAATATAGCCCCAGGTCTGGATTTACACCCGGGAAACTGAGTGCAGAATTTGGCCATAAAATTCTGCATGTTCCCTGGAAGATCAGCCAGTAAAATTATTTGGAATAAAGAACCTTTCCATCTGTCAATAATGGTTCCCTTTAAAAAATAAATATATATAACCACCACTCTGCTCTGGACCACAAATGATCACTTGCAGTCTCCAAGCCAAACTCAGTGAATTTAAAAGTTCTAGCTAGTTTGTTTCTGCTTTAATTAACCTTGAGCCAATAGTCCCAGTGACTTCAGTAAACCCACTTGGCTAAGACAGATCTGGCTCTGCTGTAGGCGTAGATGCAGTGTTCTAACTTTGTACCCTATTCATGTATTGGCTTGCACCAGATGGCTGGGGGGGCGGGAAGAAAAGATAATATAGCTGGGTGCCTTAGCTATCTCTCCATGGGGAATTCAGCTAGACCACTGGGTGAGGGGGTGATGTATCTTCCCATCATCCTGGCCCACCCAGCCCAGCCTACTCCTTTCACATGACCCACTGAGAGAGTCTTACCTTGATTGACAGCCATAGGCTATCCTTACTCTTCTAACCAAATCCTGGTAGCAGAGACTGCGTGTCTGACCACCCATCCAGTGAAGGAAGAGGTGATCAATGCAAGAAGCCTCCATGTCTCCTTTGGTGGACAGATCTCTGCAATGTAACAGAGGCCTATGGTTAAGGAATGTTGTAGATATATGGCCACAACTATCCTACAAAATTATGTTGGCCGGACTTACATTGTCATACAGCCCCCATATCAAATCATGTATATGTGTGCAACTGGCTCCTTATGTCAGCCGTGCACAGCTGTACCCGGTGCACACTTGTATGGCTTATGTGCTCATTTCGTCTTGCTGCTAGACCTATCAAATCATTTTTCCTCCGTCCACCTGCTGACTATATAACCTATTGTATAGTGTTAATTAACCAGTGTTCACCAGGGTAACCCCTGCGTGTCACTCCATCAGCTGATGTATAATAAATCCTCCGCTTGTTTTCACCTGCATCCAGAGTGTCCTAGCTTATTTCCAACAGTATTGTCTGCATGGACAGCTCCTGAAAGCCAGTAACAGCTGATGTAAGCAACAGAGTGTCTGCACGGACAGTGCATCGACCAAATGGCATTGACCATGACCCCACTGTTCAGGGAGGTGATGTGACTAAATCCCTTCAGGGAGGTACTCGAGGCTGAGGGAGCCAGATATAAGTGACAACACTTCCAAAACTAGGTCGATGCAAGGCTGCTTTCCTCGACCTATTCATGTCATGTAGACCAATATTAGAGGCACAGACTTGGTTGAATTATCATAGAGGCGGGATTCCATATTTAGGTTTGCATTGAGACTTAGTTGGTATCTGGTTGCATTGTGAAGAAAGCTGAGGCTTGCACTGGTCATAATGAGTATCCAAACAATCTCCCAGAGCCTGCACTTAGAACCCCCTCTGGCACCTCGACAGCCTTCCCCAAGCTCAGCTCAGAGCCCCTCTCACACTCCAAATCCCTTAATCCAAGACCAGAGCCTGCACCCCAACCCACTGTCCCAACCTGGTGAATGTGAGGGAGAATGGGAGTGGGAGGGAGGATGGAGTGAGCAGGGGTGGGGCCTCAGAGAAGGGTCAGGAAGGAGATGGGGCAAGGGTATTTGGGTCTGAGGTAGATCTTGGATTGCACTTAAATTCAAAAAGTGATCTTGTGCTTAAAAAGGCTGGAGACCCTTGGTCTATCTTATGTGTGCACTTACCTGTTTATGTGTGCACGAACAGGTCAGCCTGTTATTCTGAGACAGAATAATGCCATCACAGTTATCTATCTTGGGTTCTGTCTATGGCTCCATAACATGAATGGGAAACTCTTTAAGGACTTTGTTTAGCAAGCTGATTGCCAATTAATTGTTTCCAGGGAAGACCAATCCAGGTTAAATTGGATTATTATAGAGGCATGATTCCATATTTAAGTTTGTATTAAAACCAGGATTTAATGACTTGAGTATACATTAAAACATCACTGAGCACAAAAACTGAATCGACAGGGTACTAAATACCTTCTGTGTTTTGCTCATCAATCCCTGCTCTGGAGAAAAAATGCACAGTTTCCACAGTACATAAAAATTTGGAAAGTCACCTCTGAAATTGAGCCATTTTCCTTCATTTCCTCGACACAATGCGGGCAAACCTCACCTCACCCCTTCAAACCTATCTTAGAAAAACCATTTAAACAAATCAGATAACAAATAGAAAACATCAGTTTAATCAACAGGGAGTAATTATGGGATTTCCCTCAGACACAACAACGGAGCCATTGTATTCGCCTCTCTGAACAGTCAGCAAATTGTGGTAGGACAAAGCTACAGTGAATTAAAGGCTTTTCGGGAGCAGATACGATTGCTGTTGGTTACTAAAGAACCCATGTCCTCTGAAATCCTCTCTGGTCTGCTTCATGCTAAATTCATGGTAGTGTTTCTAGCCCAGTGTAAAATCTTAAAAATCAGAACCAGAGGGGATGAGGCAGGGGGACTTGCCAGACTGGAGTGACTTGATTTTATGCAGATTTTTCTCATTTTGCATGCTAGTGATTTTCTCTAAGCAGGCAAGAGGAATGCTTATTAGTAGATTGCTAGCACCTCCTTCTGAAGCAGCCAGACTTGGCTGCTGTCAGAGAGGACAATGAAATAGATGTGCTGGGCCAATGCAATATCTGCTTACAAAATAATCGCTAGCCTGGCTTAGAGGAGAGGGTACTGAACTGGGAGTCAGGAGACCTAGTTTCTTATTCCCATCTCTACCAATAACTGCCTGCATGACGTTAGTCTAATCACCAGGGCCTGGCTTTTCAAAGATATCTAGGCAACTAGCATCTGTTGATTTCAGTGACAATTTATGCGTCTCCAGAACCTTCGAGGATGTCTAGGCTTTATTCTCTCTGTGCCTTGATTTTCCCCTGCAAACTATTGCCATACCGGTCCATTTAGAATCCTAACATATAATTTGGAAAGTACTTTATTCAGACAGAATTTTGTTACAACGTTGCAGTTATTGTTGCAATAAATATTTTCATAGGTAAGTGATTTACAATTTGTTTTGTTATATAGGACTGGAAGAGTCCTCAAAAATCATCTAGTCCAGCCCCCTGTCCTGAAGCAGGACCAAATAAATCTAGAACATCCCTGACAGGGTGTCTATCGAGCTTGTTCTTAAAATAACATTAATGACAGGGGCTTTCCACTACCTCTTTTGGAAACCTTATTCCAGCATTTACATGTCCTTGGAGCCCTGCACAGATACAAAATTGGCATCTGCACCCGCATCTATATCCGCAATAATGAGCCACGGAGATCTGCATCCACAGCCACAAATGCAGATACCCCTGGATATTCGCAGGGTTCTAGATACAAAATTTGTATCCACATCTGCATCCGTGCTCACAAAAATGAGCTGTGGCTATCCACATCCACAGAGGCAGATACCTGCAGATATAAAGCAGATATCCAATGATTTGGCAGGGCTCTACCTATCCTGCTAAGCAGGATTTTTCCCCCCTATAATATCTAACCTAAATCTTCCTTGCTGTAGGTTAACCCAGTTACTTCCTATCCTACCTTCAGTGGACCTGGAGAACAACTGTCCTTAATATATTTGAAGATTTTTATTACATCCTTTCCTGACCAATCTTTTTTTCTCAAAACTAAAAACATGCCCAGTTTTGAAATCTTTTCTTGGCAGTTATGACAAATCATACTCATTTCTTGGGCTTAAAAATGCCATTAATTGTTTTAATTATAACAGGCACCTTGAATCATTTAAATTGACTTTGGCCCTCAGCCAGTGGCCATTGGAGTAAATGGGAAATGGACCATTCATTTCACTGGGAGCAAACTCCAAGCTACAGGGCATCTGCACTGGCAAAGGCTACTAGAATTCTGCAGTAACCTTTTCTCCTCTCTCCGACTTTCCCACTATACCCACAGAGCATGTGTCATTTTGGGACTAGATGCACCTGCCAGTGAAGTTGCGGGCAGGGAGGGAGCAGGGATTATATGTGGTTTTAAATCCTAGGCCAATCCACAGCCTTTGGGAAACATTTGGATCATCCTTCCTACCTGTCTTTCATCCAAATATTTGCATCATGCAGGGCTGCGAGTTATTTCCTGACATGCTACATACCTTAACATGTCCTCCTCTGACTGCAGGTCGAGTCCAGACTAGGTTGATGAATTCCCTTGTTTTATAAAATAATTGCTTTGGAAATATGGTCTGTCAACCATAGTGAATTCAGGGGAAGATGTGAATGTGTGGTTAGGAATTGTACTTTATTATGGATGTGTCTTTCGGCTTTTAGGGTCTGTTCCAGAACCCCAGGAAAATCATAGAATCAAGCAATACTAGAACTGCAAGGTACCTTCTGAGGTCACCAAGTCCAGTCCCCCATCTTCACAACAGGGTCTAGCACCATCTAGATCAGGGGTGGGGAAACTTATCCCCGGGCTTGCCTGGATTGGTCCTTGAGGCTTCCCACTCCCCTCAGCATTGGGGGGGCCAATTCTGGTGAGGGGCAGGGTGGGGTTTTTTGCTTGTTTCTCACTTGGGTGCAGCCCCTGACTGATTTTCCTGTGGGTCAATAGTCCCTGACCCCCCAAAAAGGTTCCCCACCCCTGATCTAGATCATCCCTGATAGATGCCTAGCTAACCTGCTCTTAAATATCTCCAATGACAGAGATTCCACCACCTCCCTAGGTAGTTACTGGAAAGCTTCCCCCGGTGACTTCAATGACTTAGCGATCCTGGAGCGAGGCAGACAACTTTAAACGATGATATTTCGTTGCGTCTGAGCATAGAATCCGAAAAACGCTGCGCCAGCCTCCTCTTTTACAAATGCTCAGCTGCCCTCGCTGCAAACCCAACAGTGCCAAATTGATCCTCCCAAACGAAAGCGTTTCCCAGCTAAATTGCCACAGGAGGTTGCTACGAGGTAAAGTAGCTAAAAAGTATTTACTTTTTGCTGTATGTAAAGTTGCCGAGGCGAACTAAACCCCACTTTTCCCGTGGAAAGAGGAAAGCTCTAGGAATTCAGCTTTGGTAGTGAATAAAACTGCACAGATGCAAAGACCTGTGTTTAAGGTTTACTGTGCTAAATCACAGGGCTGGCCAGATTGCGTGGTAAAACACGATCATTTTAATCTTCGATTCGATTCAGCCAGTATTTTCTGGCTGAGTATGTACTATAATAAAGCGGCGGGATTTCTGATAGCATAGTGAAGAAAATAGTTGAGCTCAAGCTTAATTGTAGGATAAAATTGCCCCGGGACCATGATTTCTAGCAAAAACTTGTCCGTTTTCTTTGCTTGCTTGTATATGCAAGATAAAAAGACCACAATTTTAGAGGACATGATTTTCGCAGCAGAAGCTGTTTCAGGTTTGGATCTTGTGCAAGCACATTGTTTGCACCAAGTAGGCACATCAAAAATAGCAGCACGTGGAATTAACCCCTAGTGTTTGGAATTTGGCCAGCAGCAAATCGGCGATCGGTTTAAGAACAGGAGCCAGGAAACGGACCAGCGAAAAGTCATTGATTAAGTGTGCACATGGCGCATTTTATCTTAAAACCTTGTGGACTATGGGCCATCGCTCGGGAAGGCAACATTTAGCAACCACCC